TAAAAATAATAATCAATACAATATCCGTAAATTTGTTTGTACTATTATTAGCTTTATTTAATTAACAAAAAATAAAAAAGAACGAAATAAAATTAAATATCCTCTGCTAGGGTATAAGCATCAAAAAGCATACAAAATCAAGAGCAACAGGAAAGTTTCCTTTTTGGGCCGTTGCGTGTGCCACTGCCATCGTCTTGGGATTGGGATTTTAGCCACGATTTGGGTTTGGTTCGGGGTTTTTCAGCTCCCGACATGCGTTTTTGATATGAGCATTTAGATTATTGCCTTGGTGTGGCAATAAAATGCGCGGAAAACGATAGCCAGACACGGATTTCGATGCCTAATGTAGAGCACTTGAGTTGCGATTGCGTTTTTGATACACTCGCTGGTTTTGCATCTGGCTTTCGAAAAACGGCGGTCGATCGTTCGTGGTGGAATCGTATCGAAATCAATCAAATGGAATATTGACAGGTCGCTGCCGCCTAAGCCGTTGGTATTTTCTACCTTATCGCCCGGGCTCCATGTGTCACCGCCCATATCTTTATGCCCATCTGGCGGCAATTTTGGTGCCCGAGTTAAGCACTCGCTTAACGCTTAACGCCCCCATAAGCCCTGACTAATTGGCAAGGAAATCGCTTTTCCGATATATATTATAAAAGCCTTCAAATGGCCAACTACTTCTTTTTTTTCGTTTTGTCTTTGGCTGGGCAATTGCTGAAATTGTGACAAATTTAAAAACATTTTCCAATATTATTTATCGCGTGGTGTACGCATGTTGAATGCGCAATTCACGCAGCCAGTTGCTGTTTACTTAGTTCGGGGGATTTGTTCAAAATCGAACGCGAAAATCGACAACAAGCATTTTGTCTAGCCTGCCATGTTCGATTTGGCCTCAGCTCACTTTTTTTGGGGCAAGCTATATTCGTGGGGAAGTGGGAGTTGCGGCTTCGGTTTGGGTTTCGGTCAATGGCAACGAGAAAAGGCGTATGCAAATTAAATCAATCGAATGCTATTAACTATATGCTTAGTTTCAATTATTAGAGATAAATTGGATTTAATATTTTAATTACAAACGGAAAATACATTTTGTATACCTTCAAAGAATTGATGTGACTCAACTTTTCTACATAAAATATTTGTGTTTAATATACAGTGCTATTCTAACGAATTATTAACCTTAAAAAACCATCTCGCCACTTAAATATTAGTTTTTAGTAAATTGGCATTGTTCTGAAAGTCTAGATTCTACATTTAATATTTCAATTACAAAGGAAAATTTTTTTAATGAATAAACTAAGCTAAATAAAATATTTGTTTTTAATAAACAGAGTTATCCTAAGCTTAAAAAAACATATCGTATCTTGAACTGGATTTCTCTTGGTAAATTGGCAAGGTTATGAAAGTATAGATTCCTAATTTGTTATTTTGATTACAAAGTAAAATATATTTTGTAAGGCTCTAAAGATTTCTTTTAAATAAACACAGTATCCCACTGATTTATTGACCTCCTAAGATCATCTCGTATCTTACAAAGTTTTTGACAATTTTTTATTTTGACATATCCAACGTTTTGACAGTCGCGACCATTAGTCGCTATCACTAGCGACCGTCATGACCGGGCCATTAGACCATTAGCCACTTCTTGGGGCAACCCTGACATCTGCCAAGCCCCTGCGAAGTCAGTCTAGTTTAGCATTTGATTCATGGGGGGCCAGCACCACCCGCGCCTGGCCAATCAGCAAATCATTAACAACTAATTAAATTATATAAAAGAGCCATTAATTAAGCCTTAAACTCAAGGCGGCCGAGAATAGATTTCCCTTTCACTTTACAAGGAAACAGAAACAGAAACCCAAACAGAAACAGAATCCGAGATCAACATTGTGGCGAACAAATAATGACAAGAACTTTGCGCTAAACTTTTGCACTTTGACACCCAACTGTGAACCCGGCCCACTCCCACTCCCAATCGCAATAAACCTTATTCTTTGCTTCTTAGGGGCACGCTTTGTGCGGCGGCAGTTGTAAATATTTAATAACTACATTAATAACAGCAATGACAACGGCAGCAACAGTAATAACAACAATAATAACACGCGCTGCAATTTGCCAGAGCGGCAATAAAAAAAACTACCGTTTTTGGCCACGTTTGCTCAACTCAACTCAAAGTCGGTCTCGGAAACTCAGACTCTCTGACTCGACCACATGGAATGAATGAATGTCATTAATTTGACAACAGAAACCGTTAAATCAGCAATTCAATCACCTGGTCAGAAGCGGATTTCCACACCGAGAAAAAATCGGGTATAACAAGTGTGACCCTGCTCAAACATAAATCAGGCATTTACCAGTAGTGTGACCTTGATTACAAAGAGCTATTCATATTTAGGACCTGTTCATAACAGTAATTCTTAATATGAAAATCTAAAACAAAATAAGTGTTAGTAATATGATTTTGGATAAAACATTCTGTTTTATTTTTCTTCCTGCACCGCTTAATGGTGCGACAAAGAAACGGTTCTCTCGCGGGCATCTCTCGGTGCCTCTCAAACTCCTTCTATTTCGAGACGGCGTGAGTCTTAAATTACCAACCTTGCCACAATTTCAATGCGCATTCGCATTCGAATTTGTTTGCGGTAATTGGCCTCTGAGTTTGCCATTTCAGTGGCTCAAAAGGGGTCGGTGGGTGGCTCGCTGTGGGTCGGGGGTCCAGCTGTTGGTGGTGCTGGCTACTGAAACCGCCGCACCCACCAAACGATCCAAACAAATCCAAATAGCAAAGCGGACCTGTGTGTACAGTGACTTGGGGGTGGCATTAAATGCTTCAACAATTACTTCTTGCCTTGCAGTTAATTGTTCAGCTCAAAATGTAGTGTTCACATTTCGCTAATGATGTTAAAATGTCTGGACATATGTTTAAAGTTGCTAACAATTTTTATTACTTTAGTTTTTATTACCCCGGGTAGTATAAACTTAAGAGGAATTTTCCCAATCCTCGAAAACTGAATCAATGATTTGTTTTTATGAACTGCACGAATGCAACACTTTTATTACATAATCAAAGTACAAATGGTAGTTTGACCTTTCTGAAATATATAAATATATTGATCAGTTCTTTTTGCAAAACATTTTAAATAACAGGAAGTCCTTTTTTGGTCAACTAGCTGATATTGTAAAAATCTTAATAAGTTATTTTTTGTATAGATAGCTAGATTTGGTTTTAATTCTAATTACAAGGAATTTTATTGATTTTATTAAAAGACATTACAATTTTATTATTTTCTTTGGCACGACCAACTTTCCATAAAAAGCTTTTATTAGTATATTATGACCTGGCTTTTAACCACTGTGCGAGGGAGTTCGCCTTTCAACTTCTGTGGCTGCTGCTACAGGTGTCTCTGGTCTCCAGTCTCCGATCACCGATCTCCGGTCTCCGGGTTGGCGTTCTCCTCAATTCTCCTCGATTCTCCCCCCGTGTCAATGACAGTTCAATGTGCCTGCTTGATGGTTGTTTCTGCCATCGTTGTTTTGTTGCCGGTCTGGCAACAGTTGTCGCACATGCAAATCGTGACTGTTGTCCATCACAGCTCTCCAGTTTGCCAGTTTGGCAGTTCTCCGGAGTCTCAGAGCCTCGGAGTTGCCAAACTTGCCAGTCAGTCAGTTTGTCAGTCAGTCGTTGGCCGTGTAATTTTTTGTCTCTGCTCTGTTGATTTTTTGGTAGTTGCACATGAGACCCGAGTGATTTGTTTAAGACGTTTTGATTGATTATTGGTGCGCATGCGCCAAAGCGGCGACAAACTGCCAAAATCTATGTATGGGCATTTTGTTTTAAACATTTTGCAATGAAGAAAATTTAAAAAAATATAATATTAACTTTACAAATTTCTGTTCAGTATTTTAATAATTTCTTCTAAAATTATTAACTTTTTTATAGATTTAATGGCATGTTTTTAGGGATAAATATATCTGTATAATTTATGTTATTATTTCCTAATGGGATATTTTTTCATATCTATGAGTAATACCTGTTAAGAATTGATCTGTTTTCTTTATGTGTTGCCACATCTTTGTTATGGCCCAGTCATGCGCCAAAAAAAGAGCCGCTTTTATTAATTATTCTGACCCAGAATTCGTACGAATCTCGGAGTATCGGAAATCTGAGAACAGTAACTGAAACCAGAAACGCGAACAACGCTCGGGGTATGAGTTTTATATATTTTCGAGCTCGGCGCGCGTTTGTTGTCAGTTTCGGTTTGAAATATTTACCACCTGTGATGAATAACGTTACATTTGCGTTGATTGTTTTTTATCCGTGATTTATCGAGAAGTTCGAGTACCAGCAGCACCTCGATGGCCATGCCCACATATAATGCTGATTACTCAGGTGTCTGGGGTGCGTGTTTTCTGATTTTCTGACTTCGGATTTCGGATCTCCTCCTTCTCGAGGCCCGTGTACCGTTAATTAATTTGCAAGTCTCTGCCTCGTCGCCGTCTTTGTTGTTAACTCTGTTTTGGTTTCGTTATGTGTATGTTTTAGCCGGAATTTGTAGTGCAAAGTGCACACCGGGTGGCATTCGTCAGAGGATTGGATTTGTGGAAATGGGTTTATGCGGGACACAGATTGCGTGAAGAAGATATCATGGAAATTTAAAAAAAAAATGCAATAAAAATAAAAATAAATCGTATAGCGCTCTGAAGAAGCTTTAGAAAAAATTAAAAACCTATAATGCTTAAATATATTATTTTTAAAAATATTTTAAATTGAGCTCTACCAGTAAAAAAATACATTTTTGATTTTTATTAATGCTTTTATTATTTTATTAACGCTTACATAATTATTTTTAAATATATTTAAAATGGGACTTCTCAAGTAAATACTAATATTTTTTCTTTTTAATACTTCTTCCCTTCCTTTTTAATAAAAATTTTTTATAATTCAATAAATTTTTTTTCCCTCACATTTTTTAAACCTTTAACTTCACAAAAATAATAAAACTCGCTTTAATGGTGTCTAAAATAAAATTTAGTTAGGGCAATAAAACGAATACCTCTGGGGCTTATTGGCAAATCAAAGTTAGTTAAATAAAATGATTACTTCTTGGGCTTATTGGCCAACCGAAGCTTTGATATGTTGGGAGTGGCCCCATGGGAGATATTGGGGGTTACCATGGTGGCCCTGGAGGTGGGCGGTGCCCTTGGAATGTTCGAGGGGGCTGGCGATGGCAAGGTGGGTTCATCATCGGTTTTGGGCCTTGGTTTCGACTTGTTGGTCCTGGTGGCTTGGAATCTCTGACTTTGGGGCTTCCGTTTGACACCGCTAGTTGCGCGATTAGTCCTGTTCTTCACTCCCTGGGCCAACGAATTCTTCAGCAAGGAAGCAGTGGGCACCGCCGCCGATGGCGATGGCAAATTGGTCGAGTTCACAGTCATTCCATGGGCACTGATCGATCGACTGAGGGCCTCCGCCTCCTGATTGGCCTCCTGCTGACCATTCCGCATCAGGGTGCTGATCCTCTCGCGCTGCAAACGCTCCTGCACCATGCGACTCTGCTGGATGGACCTGATGTGCTCGAACTCCTGCCAGAAGTTGAAGCTGATCTCCGCCGAGCTGCGGGCAATCTCTGTATGAAGCTCCTGGGCCAAACTTCGGTCCCGCGGGACTTCATCCCTGTTGAAAATTCGCGACATAGGAAAAGGAGTTGTGTGGTCGCTGGAAAAAGAAATATGTGCCTGGAATTTTGAATGAAGTTCGGCTGGGGCTCAACTTGAAGAATATATCCTGGCTAATGTGAAAGTAATACTTATTCAGTTGTTAAAAAATCCTATTTGGTAAAATGTTTAATATTTAAATGCATTTTCTTGTTACTTACTAAATCCATTAGTTTTAAAATCAAATAAAAATATTTGTATTTGTTTTTTAGCCTTGAAAATATTAAATTGAAAAATGATAGTTAATTTAAATTTTTTTTTAATGCGCAGATATTTTTTTTAATATTTTATTTTTCTTTAGTCATTTATCTCAAAATTATTTTAATAAAAAAGTATTCTTCTCTATTCATAAGTTCTTATTCAAAGTTTGCATTTGTGACTTTCAAAGTAAATATAAATGCCGCGATATTTTGAAAATATTACATTCTAATATTACAATGGGTGAAAGATATGTCTTAATGGCTCTTTTTGGGGCCTGAGCCCCTCTACTATCCGGGTTTTCAAAGCACCAGCACCACACTCACTTGTCTGCAGGTTGAAATGCCGCTTTGGACAAACAAACAAAACACGGCACTCGAAACATGACGTTCGTTGTTGTCGGGAGGCGATTTTGATCGATGTGCGTTTTCTAATTGCTGCCAACTTTCTTCTTAATTGTGGCAAGAAAAATGAGGCCCGTATCGAAATGGCATGAAAAGCACAACGAAAAACAGCCACCTGGTGGTGGGGGAGAAATTGCTGTAGATTTATGGAAAGAATTTTTGAGTGGCTTTTTGGGGGTTTCTCCGCGGGTTCTTCGGGGGTTCTCCCTCACTTCTCCCCCTTCGATCAATCATGTGTAGTGCGATAGAAGCCCGAAAACTTGGCCCAATTGTTAAGGCAAACAATAAGGCGATACGATCGCCTTGGTCCACTCCACATAACGAAAACAAAATTGCAGGCTTTCTGGTTTTGTTTTGTTTTTTTTTTTGGGCGTAGGATATCATCGGTGATCTTTCTGGATCCCCTGCTGTGCACTTGTCGAAGCCAAGAGTTCAATGCGCGGCTACCAGCTCACAATTTATCCTTTATGGCTTTTGTTTCTGCAGAAGTGAAAACAAAAGATTGTCATCGTGGTCGTTGGAAAAAGGGTGAGGTAAAGCAAGGGTATTTCTGCATACTTTGCATATTTCCTGGCACTCTAATTGGGTGAAAGTGCCTAGAAAGTGTGACAGTGGGTGATATTGCACTCCCATCATCATCATTTCAGTTTCAGCAGCAGCATCATCATTTCATCCGAGCCAAAGAGTCTCCTGTCAAATCAATATCTATGGCTATAGCTTATACCTGTGGCTGCGCCATATAACATACATCACCCGCATATATAGGCATCGCCAGCAATCAGGCGGACAACAAAAGCCGGGGCCGGCTCAGAAATATTCCCAGGCCAGGGAAACTAGAACTCAAAATCATACATCACAAGCAATTACCGGCTAAAATGCGCCAGAGTAAGCCCCCTACGACCGATAGTTGCAGCAACTTGCCAGCAAAAGTCTGCGACTAACCTTGGTCGCTAGTTAAAGCCCGCAAAAAAAAACAAAAAAAAAGATCGAATAGTGGGCAGCTATTATTACTGTTGTGAATACCCTAAAAGTTGGCAGGTTATGTTGGCTAATTGTTAATTCAAAACCAGATCAAAAATGTATATATCTAAAATGATTATTATTTATCAAAATTTTATACTTTTTACTAAGATTTTGTGTAACAGGAATTAATTATAAATTTTATTAATTATATAAACACAATTAACCACACATTTTCGATTTTTAAAAAGTCTTTTAAATTAAACCTTTTAATAAATAAAATTTGTTATGTAAACAGTTTTTAAGTTAGTATCATGTCTTCGTTTAAATATTCGATTTAATTGATTGCTTTTCATACAAATAAATTAAATTTATTCACATGTGTTAAATTAATTCAATATTATTAAACAATATAGATTGATCAACCTAAATATCCTACATATTCTACTAAAATAACTACATATTATTTTTAAAATAAATGTATTTAAAATATAGTAAAAAATATATTTAAAAATTAGAAAAACTCCAATAAAAATCAGTAAGAGCATTGCCTCTTATGTATCCAAAAATAGGGTTCAGCCCGTTCCCCACTCCCCTCCCTCGCTTTAACCCCTTGCTGTTGTTGTGTATGCTGGGCATGCATCATCATACCATCATCCCATTATCACATACCACAGGCCTCGGCCAAGGCAAGTCGGTCCATGGACCTGGTTCAGGTCCAGGTGAGTCCAGAGCAGGCCACGAGGATCGGATCGGATCGGATTGGCATTGGGATTGGGCTCCTCCTTGGCTTTGACCGACTGAGGCGGCACTTGAATGCCTGGCATGAAATAAATCGCGTGTTTATTGTGCCAGCGGCGATGGCGATGGCAGCAGCGCTCTCGACGATCGCTTCAATGTTGCACATGGAAAATTGAACGCAATAGAATGCCACTAATCGATCGGGCACCGAAGAACTGGAGAGCTGTATGCTGTGGATGCTGGATGCCCCCAGCTAAAAGCAGAAAAAATGAAATGTTTCAAGTTCAAATGCAAGGTGCGGACTGAAGTGAAGCGAAGTGAAGTGAAGGAGTGCCGAAGCGACTGGCGCAAGCAATCTCGAAATAATCTAAACGATTTGGCGAAAATCACGTCGAGCATCGTCGGCATCGGCATCCACCTGTTACGTCGAGCTCATTTTTAATGCCCCCAAAACGAAGGAGTTTTCGAGTTTCAAGATTTCGAGCCTGAAAGGAGGCAAACGGCCGGCCGGCATCGAGAGCAAATTGCAAGAGCCAAATTCAACAAATGCCGGCGCACAGTTTGGCATAATAATGAAGGCGCAATCAAGTGGACGGCTGGCCAGCGGCTGCTGCTGCTGATCCTCCGGAATAAACTAAGAGACTCCTCTTACACAAAGAGAAAAGTGGGCCAGGGATTGTTAGAAAATATGCCAGGTATCTCAAATATTTTCCTTATTGATGGGAACTCTTTTTAATAACCGACAAAAATTCTGAGACTTTTGTTAAGGAGAAAATTATAGTGTGTGGCAATGAATATTTCCAATGGGAAGAGAAAGAATTAATAAGAATTAGAAAGAAATAATAAGAATAAATATATATTAAAAATAATTAATAAGAATTAAGAAGAATTTATAGGAAATAATAAGGATTAATTAGAATTAATGTGAAATAATAAGAATTAAATATAATTAAATATAATTTATAACAATTAATAAGATTTATTATTAAAATAAATGAATAACAAACACAAAGTAATAAATAAATTCAAAATTTTAAAAATTAAATCGAAAGACTTAAGCAAAAAACTTTAAAAGGGTACGAAAGGAACCTATATAACCTTCCTATAACAAATTCGTTTTAATTAATTTAATAATTAAAAAATTTAATGATACAAAATAATAATACTAAACCAATTAAATTTTCAAACAAAATCTTTTAAATATTATAATTTTACATTTTAAATTACTTGTATCAAACTTTTCTTAAGTGTGGGCGAGAATGTTCAAGATGAGGCCAGGTGAGGGTGCATTGCACAGATTAAACATTATTTCTGTTTTCTTCATTTTGGGTTTATCTACCAATACAATGCATAATTTCTCGCTGCTGGCTTGGACTTGGGATCTGGGATCTAAAAATGCCCAAGTCTTTTTGCTGTGGGTCCCGGGTACCCGAATAACCGAATAGCCGAATACCCGGCTCTCGTTGTGGTGTTATTCTAAACGGCTTTTAGACAAAAGCATCAGCCGGGTTGCCCAAGTTCACCTCACGCTGCCAATCAATCAATCACGGCCAAGAAGCCTAGTCATCTGAGCATCTGCCGACTATCCACAGTCCACAATCCACTCTTCGGGCCTGGTCAAGTGTAATGGTTTTGTCATGATGCAGCATTTAAGCTGCCGCCGCTGATTGATGCGGCAAGAAGTGGCCGAAAGAGTGGCGAGTTAGGAATTTCACACCATCAGATCAAGTCGACTGCGACTACATATCTATGGAAATTTTCTGCCGTACACTTGTCGGTCATTTCACTCCGTTAGTTGGCTCGGCCGAGACGAATTGGGTTTTCGAGTTGGGAGTTCAAAGAGTTTCTCAACCATCTGAGGGAAGAAAATCCCACAATCAATAATATTCTCTTGTATTTAATGAATCATTTAAAATGAAATATAAACAAACTACGTCTTAAAGATCAGAATAATGAGAGGATATTGTAAAGTACACGAATTGCATTTTAATTCTTTTAATATTTTTAAAAAATTTTTAAAATTAAATAAATTAAAGTATATTAAAAATAAGTTTATATTCTCTTAATAAATCCTCACCTTATTGTCATTTCCAAATGAGCCTTACTTACATCCGTCTTAAAAACCTCTTTCTTATGCGCAAAATTAGTTCAACTTTTTCTTTCAACTCCCATCAGAGTTTCGTTGGCCAAGACACTAAAACGATTTATATTCGTAATTAATGATTGATTCGCTTTTGATTTGCAAGCAATTTTCGAATGAGGAAAGAGCATAAAACACTGGCCGTTAAATCTCAATGCCACCTGCAAGGCGGCGGCTTCGTCGTCGTCGTCGGCATATCAAATCAGCAAAATCAAAACAAAATTAATTGACGACAATTGTGGCGAGCGAGCTAAATGTGTGGCAACCACACTAAAACTGCGGCAACCAGAGCAAAAACAGTAATTATAGCAACAACAAGGAGACTGCAACATCGACAGACGTCAATTGTCTAATCAACAAATTTAGTCAATAAATCGTAATTAATTAACGTTCGATTGGCAGGCGGCTAAAAGAGTTTTCAATTTTTGCATTCGAATCGACAGAGCCCCGAAAAAATTCAAATTCAAATTTGAAAAGGAACACAAAAGCAGAAAAAATCAAACACAAAGCAAAATCCATATTCGTGCATTGCACTATGGTCCAAAAGTCGATTTTTTTGGCATAAACTCTAAAAATTGAGTCACAGACTTCAAACTTTACACATTCTGTTTTT